CGACAGTGAATTGAACGCTCATATTTAACTAAGAAATTCTGTCGTGTGTTACTTTAGATAATTAAAAAAAAAATTATTCCGGTACGATTATTTTTTCGACCAATTTCCCTGCCACATACACCCATCCGCATACACAGACGTCCAGAAAAAATTATGTTAAATGTTATTATTTACTATGTTAAACAAAAAAATTGTTATTGAAATATATTTTATGTGCCTGACAAATTATTCGACTTGATATAAGTGTACTCATATTAACCTGTAAGTGCGATATAAATAACAAAAAATCAATTTCAGTTTCGAGAAAACTGCTTTTTTTGAAATGTCGAGAGTAGAGCACAACCTCAACGCTTCGCTTATGAGGCGTGCAAAATTGACTATGACTGAAAAATATATGTTTAAACCGTGAAAAGGCTCTAATTCTTATCAAAACAAATTTATGGTAAAGATATACACGTTACAAAATTTTTCTTAGTTTCTTAGGGCCAATTTTTTTAATCCAAGACAAAATTTTATCCAGAATAAAATTATTATTGCCAGTATATTTATATATATTATGAAATATATAGATATATTTTATCATTAGATAAAATTTTATCCTGGATTGAAAAACTGGCCCTTAATTACATAAATTAATTTTTGTAATGTGCAAAGGATGACAGGATAAAGGATAATATAAATAATGCTGTGAAGCGGGAAAGAATAGAAGTTACGGATAATTATTACGTGAAGCGTTCCAACATTCACGTAACAGGATATTTTGGTAGGAAAGGATTGAGAAAGGACTGTGGAGAGGATCATCTTAATGTGAGTGTATAGAATATGCGAGAAAAAATTTATTAGATAGCTCGGACGTTAATTGAAAAAATTAATTAATTAATTAATTGATATATAACCAGGTTCACATGTACAAAACCAATTAATTAAGTAAATAAACAAATGACGTTTATCTCGAAATTTAACTATGCACGTATTAAGCCCAAGAATAAATGCTGACGTAAGGCACAGCAACTACAACCAAAATAATAACAACGCAACAGAAAATCCCAACAATAACAACGCAGATATTATCCTAATTCTAGAAAAATCATTTAATGAATTCAAAGAAGTAATACGCCAACAAAATGTACTCTTAAATAACATGCTAACCCTACTGACGACGGTACTACAAAGCCTACTTCCTCGAAATGCATAATTTCTATCACATAGCACTCTGGAATGCTAACGGGCTAGCGAATCACAGGCAGGAACTAGCCACTTATCTACACACGAATAAAATAGACATTATGCTCGTCTCAGAAACACACTTCACCAGCCTTAATTATCTCCAAATACCCAACTTTATCATCTACGACACCAAGCATCCCGACGGTACTGACCATGGAGGCACAGCAATACTAATTAAAAAGACTATCAGACACCATGAACTCAACAATTTTGAAACGGATTACCTACAAGCCACATCCATAGAAATTGAAGACCTCAATCACGGTCCAATAGCAATATCGGCAGTATTACTGCCCACCTAAACATAAAATCAAGCAAAATCAATTCAGTGACTTCCTAAATTCTCTTGGCAGTATTTAAATTCATTGCAGGCGGAGATTACAACGCAAAAAACATCCACTGGGGTTCGAGACTAGACACCAATAGAGGCAGAGAACTACGTAAAACTCTATCGACCATCAACTGCGATACATTACTTTCGCTGAACAATTAAATTAAACATCTACAAAATAATCTTAAAACCCATCTGGACGTACGGCATACAACTATGGGGAACGGCCAGCAACTCAAATTTAGAAATACTACAAAAATTTCAAAATAAAAGAATTAGAAACATTGTCAATGCCCCCTGGTATATTATATATATATATATAATCTATATTATTGCCGTCATACTTAGAAAGAGGATATGAAGAAAATTATGCCATAATAGCAAAAGCAAGATGTGGAACTTTAGAGGAAGCCAACAAAACTTGGAAAAGTGATAAAGAGAAGAAATGCTGGCTTTGCGGCAAGGGACAAGATTTAATAGAGCACTGGTGGGAGGAATGCGAAGAGGTACAGAGAACAGTGCTTTCAATTGAAGAAATATTAAATAGTGAAGGAGAAAAAGAAGCAGTTACCTGGTTGAAAGAAATAGAGAAGAAAAAACGCGACCTACGGAAGAAGCCAAGGAAGCGAAGGAGAAAGTGGAAGGGTAACAAAGAAAAGAAGCAACTTTGCATTGTTTTAATTATGTGTGATAAAATAAAGATAGGCAGTGTAAATACCAAAAAGTTATAAAATTATAAAATATAAAATAAGATAGACAGAACCGTTAAAGTGCAAAAATGTATCATGAAAATATATACTTATATAGAGAAGTAACAGAAAGAATTCTACACATTGTATTAAGTTAAAATAATTGAAATAAGTAAATGTAATTTAATAGAATTAAGTTTATGTAAGGTTATATGTATTCAGTCCTATTTCTAGGCCCTCAAGGCTGAAATAAATAACAATAAATAAAATAAAATAATCTACATTATATATCTATATATATATATATATATCCAACACAATAATAAGCAGAGATCTGAGCATCTCGACCATCAAGGAATAAATTACGAGACTGAGCGTGAAATACGAAGGCAGACTAGAAAACCACCCAAATCCCATGGCAACAGAATTATTAAATAAAGAGGCAATCAGAAGACTAAAACGGTTCAAAACAATTGATTTAAAAAATCGTTTTCAATAATACTAGTGGACATTGTCCCAAATACCCATCATGTACATAAAATCACAAAAATTATTTATTGTTATAAAATAACAGATTATAATTTAAATATATAATAAAAAAAAAAAAAAAATCCCGAAATTCGAATCTACTTATAATCACTTCAAAAACATCATAGTAAATTAACTATTGCTGAAAAGCATATGAAACATTGAAAAGGTACAAATTTAGATCAAGACCTTTTCAATGACACTAAATTTAATTTAAAAAACTAATTTTATCATATAAATAAGTCGGAAAAAAAAATTCTTTTCTTGTTTTAATTGTATAGAAAATAAATTATTTATGAAAAACAAACCTTTGGTCCTAATCACTGAAGTAATCATCAGAATCGACATAATAACTTGAGCTTTCATAATCATTTTGGTAATTCTCCCAATAATCAGCTTCATTATCAGAAATATAATCATCATAATATTCCGGAACATCGTTAGCATCATGGTAACTTAAGTCTTCAACATAATCGTTTTGAAGATCGACATTCTCCACATCATCTTGGGTGTCATAACTATCTTCATAATCACTGCCACTATTTTCTTCAACAGGAAGTTGATCGTAAACATCTTCATCGTAATCTGGTTGATCAAAAATATCTTCAGTTATTACTCCATCTAGCTCAGAAACATCATCCGGCTGATCGAAGTAGACTTCTTCTTCTGAGTCATAATATTCTTCTTCAGAATCATTATCGTAAAATTCAATCAAAAAACCGTGATGATTGTAATAATATACGTGAGCAGGATTATAGCCAAAGTCGCCCATCTTGAGTGTGTACTTTAATAGAAATTGCAAAATAACTTTTTAGCGTAAATATTTAATATTTTCGAAAACCTACGGAGTAAAATTATAAAATTAATGAACAATTGAAAAATATTGATTATTATTAAATATTAAATTTTAGAAAAAATGTAACTTACAAAATTATTTCATAAATTTTGGTGTGAAATACTGATATATTACTTAGTGATATAAACATGTAAGATGTGATTAATTTAAAATAATAAAATTAAATTTCAATTTTTTAACTTTACAAAATAGTTCTATAAAATATATGGTAATTTTTTATTCAAATTTATATATATTGTAAATTATAGCAACTTTTTATTTGGCTTGGTTAGAGTTATAGAAGTAAGAAACAAGATATGTTCGTGAAGTTGTCTCTAGAATAAACTAAGCTTCTCTTCTCCCAGCGCTACCACACTACGGGAAATTATTTAATGAGATGCTATAGTAAAATTATTTTTAATTTAATTAAAAAAATAACGTTATAAAAATATAAAAGTTTAAATAATTCCAAACATGGTAGACAGCAAAAGCTAAAGTGTTTATCGAACTACTACGGCTGAGTTTTAATTTTAAAAAGTGAATAAAGCCAGGTTATACATAGGACTAAATGAACAACATTCGATGCATCATGTTTCTTAGAAAACTCCAAAAATAGCACCTGAAATTTTGACAGAGGTATTAATTATTACTAAAACGTACAATTTATAACACTGAAATTAGCTGACCTTTGAAAATTTTTTTGTTTATAAAAAAAAAAATTTTTTCAAAGTTTGCTCTTGCAATTTTTTTTAATTTCTAGATGTGGAATTCTTTTTTATTAAAATTTTTTCGTATAAATTTAGTTATTCTAAAATTCAAAAAAATTGACAAATGTCTGTCAACTTCAGTATCATTAAAACTTTGATAGTTTGAAAAAATTTTTCAATTTTAAATTTAATTGCAATTTACATGTTAGACATTTTTTTATTAAAATTTTACTGCTTCAAATAAATAACATACATAATAGAACAACAAATTTAGTTAAATATTATATATTTATTCTTGAACAATATAAAACATATATTTTTTTATTTTTTATAACTAATTTTATTTTTTTTTATTTAAATATATTTGTAACTTTTCAATAGAAGTATGTCTCTATAATTCAATCTTAAAAAACAAATTTCATATAACTTCAATAAAATTATCTCCTACAAAGATAAATTTGTAATTAATTTAATAAAACATATTAAAATTTCATGCTCTTGTAAAACGTATAAGCAGAAAAATTTGCAAAAGTAAAGTCTTAATTTAAATTGTTCTTTTTTATAAAAAATGAATAAATAATTAAAACTAGTTGAACGATATTTAATAAAAGTTGATAATTTAAAAAAATACTTAAAATATTTCAGTCTTAAAACTTTCGTCACTCAATAACAAGCTTTGTACATCAATCAGTTTTCTTCAATTTTTTAAAATAAAATTTCACAGCTACAAGATGTCGAATGCGAATTTGTGAGGTAGTAAAAACGATAAATTCATCGTGAAGCAGAGTAGTGTTAGGAGAAAATACATTCTTAACTATTTCCCCATAAGGAACTTCAACATCTTGATAAACAATGGCCGTATCGTTTGAGTAGGGCGAAAAGAGTCCTTTGCCAACAATCGAATGTATTCCCAAGGGTAGCATCCACGTATCCGTCTCAGCTTCATACAATTCCATCGTGTTACCTAGAGCGACTTCACACAGCAGTAAATAACCTTCAGAATTTTTCTTGTTGCAGCCACAATAATTGGCTGCTTTTGACACTGAATTACTGAAGTAAATTCCGTGGCCAAACATTCTACCATGAGTAGGTTCATGCGGAACTTTGAAACCTTCAGATAGTATAGATGCGATGTTTTCTGTCTTCGTTCCATGCCAAAGTAATTTTTTGTTGCCAATTTGATCCATGAACAGTCCTATGTCGTCGGATCTGTGGATGTTATAAACATTTAACACATGCAGAACATAATTCCCGTGGCGTGGAGAGTGAGTGTTTTTAACATACTTTTGAACTATTTTTATGAAATCAGTACTTAGGTCAAGAACTTCTATTTTGGCTCCCAATTTTTTATAAAAAGCATTCCAGAAATTGGCAGCTTCATTTTTAATCTCAGAGTTTGTAATCGAATAGAACTCATCTATTCCATCTAATATTGTTTTAATTATCTTGGTCATTAATGCAGGGTCTTCATCAATCATTATCTTGGCTAGCTTCTCATCAGCCAGCGCCACTGATTGACTGCCCTTGTGAATTCTAGCACGAATCCTCAAGAAAGCTTCTTTGATATCCTTCATAACCAACTCATGCTCTTCAATTACTTTTATTATAAAGTTATAATTAATTATATCTTTTAACAAATTTTTCAACGCGAAATCAAGAAAACTTTTTTTTTCAACCACACTGATAATCATGGAAAATTTATCATTTACGTAAAATTCTGAGGTGTAAAGCTGAAATATACTAACAGCAGTGTCACGATCATACTTTTCCGAATGTCTTCTGTGATCTGAAGATTCAAAAGTTCCCCAACTTTCTTCCACCTCATATTTTTTAACTTCTCTTCCTCTGAAACCGGGCTCTAGTATTTGCACTCTGTAATAATGATGAAATAGATTTTTGCAATTAATGCTGGACTTTATAAATATTACGGAAAAATTTCTTCTGTGATCTGTGTATATAAATTTTTGTTCCTGCAAAACTACGCAGTTGGCGATTAAAAGTCTCAAGTGCTGTTGATCTATGTTGTCAGATAATTGATAGATATTTTCAATGTTCACTAGAAAAATAAATGAAAAATTAGTAAGTATAAAATATTTTTAAAATTTTAAATCTGAAGAAAATAATTCATTTCAACTAGACTAATTTGACAGAAATATTTAAAATTTTCGATTATATTTTATCTGTTTATTATTAAGAATTGTAAAAAACAATTAATAAAAACCTTTTAGAGAAGACATGTTTCTTGTTTCTACCTATTAAGAATTCCATAATATTTATTCCTTTTATCAGTCATCTAATAAACCAAACACACTTTTTAAACTTTACATGGCTCATTGTTAATAAATATTTATAATAAATATAAACTTATCCATTATTAATATATAAAAACTAAGTGAAGAAATCGATTCACTTAAAATTGACATTAATTAGAAATAAAGCAAAATCGAAGATATCAAGAACTGAAACATTTAAATGCACCGACGCGACTGAACAAGTAATCTTTGTACTTGCTGATTTATGAAAAAAATTTATGACATCATTCACATAAATGAATAGTTTCGCTTATCTTGACACGATAAACGGGCTTAGTAAGCATGTAAAATAATTGTGCTGGTGGTAAAAAAATGCTTGACGATTTGAGCTTTCCTGCAATAAAAAATAATGTTTTATTTTTTGGAATTAAATTTAACTATAGTTAAATAATTTTTATTAAAATATTCAATTTTTAATCGTTTGTCATTAAAAGTAATAAAATTATAATTCAATAATATTTAATTTAAATTTGGAATACAGTTAAAATGTAAAATATGATGACACGATTATCGGCTGACACCTGAAAGTTTTTGATATAATTTAACAAATGAAGTAATATACATACTAAGGAAAATTTTTATAAAATTCAATTTGGACTTATCGAAATTTTAACATATGGAATTTCGTTTAGTTTATTAAAAAAGATTTTAAGACGTCTGTTAATTTCGGTGAAATAAATTAATACAGATAAGTATTCATTTTTTAAAAGATTTAAATGATTTCAAATTGAATTATTGGAAATAAAAATATCAATAAATAGAAATAAAAAGTAAATTAACCTTACCAAGTTCATCCGTAGGTCAAAATTATTTTATTAAAACGAGATCGATGATTTTAACTCTCTTCGGTCTCTTCAATATAAGAATTCTTTGGTGAAGTCAAAATTAAAATCAGTGTTATAAATGATTAAACTGTTCACAAACTCACGTGCAAATGTAAACAAAAACATTGATCACTTTTAACACTTTCTATGTACCTTTTATTCTATGTTATTATTTTATGTTTGCACATGTAATATGACCACGCTCTTGTGTTTTGATTAGCACTGAAATAGTCGGTAAGATTATTTCTGCTATACCTACCGCAGTAATATTTTTACATGATATTAAAGTTGGCAGTCACTTGATTATTTTTTAATTTTTTTTAACAAATAAATTTAATCCAAAAAATTATTTTAAAAAAATTGAATTTTCAATTTTTAAAAATTTTTACATGTCAATTTTTTTTTCTAGTTTTTTTTTTGCCATAATTTATTTGATACAAAAATTTTTAAAATGATCAAATATCTGATAAATTAATTTTCATTATTTTTACACCAGTAGTATTTTTTTTTCTTAATCTATATTATATAGTTATAGAAAATAAATTTGTCAAAAAAATAGTGTAAATTGAGTATCAAGTGTTTCTAAATTTCAGTATCATAATTTCTTTTAAACTTTTACGATAAAAATTGTTAATTTTTGTCAATAAGCACAAAATAAAAATTTAAACATATTATATTCATCTTTATTTACTTAAAAATATAGATTTCAACAAAATAATACAAAATGCTTTTTTAAATTATAATTATTTTATACTTTTACAATGTTGAATTTTTATCTTTACTTTAAAAGTTATTAATTTTGTTTACGTACGTTTTACATTTTCACTAAAAATTATTCTATTAATCAATCAATACATGTATTCTTAAAAATAATTTGCCCTTTAAACTTATTTTATTAAAGAATATAAAAATTAACTTTGTACATTTATCTTTTTTTTTTTCAACTGCTGACAATTTTCGCACAAATCTTCCATTAAAATAAATACGAATTGAAAAAAAAAAATTAATTGTTCATTTAATACGTTAAAAAAGATTGAACATTGCAATAATATTAAACTTTTAAATTAATGAACTCTTTTTAAATTTATCTATTCACTAATAATTAAATAATTTCTTAAAAACTTAAAATATAAATTAGAGCAAACTTATTAATAGCTTAAAAGCAATTACTTTAAATACACTAAAAAAAATTAATTTGATTGGAGAAAAAAAAATCTCAAATCAAGAAAATTAATTTAAAGAATTTCTCAGTATTGAATCAATAATTAAAAAATTTTTTGAATCAAGTGAAATTAACTTAAATCAATAAAAATTTTTTCAATAATTTTTGTACTTGATTTAAATAACCAAACTCTTATAAATAAACTTTCCAGCTCAAGATTTTTTCTTGAATCAATTTAATTCTTTTACCAAAGTACAAGTAATCCAGTACTCAGTTGTTCTTAGCCTAGAAGTTTATGAAAACAATAAATAATCCCAACAATAATACTACTTTTTTTTACTCCTTATCCTCAAAATCAATAAAAACCAAATACCGTATCTTAACTTGTTTCAGATCTTACACAACATATTCATCATGTATCAACTGGGATTTAATCCTTGGTATCTCAAGCAGCTTCCCATAGGCTACAGGACATTTTCTTGAATATTTTTTTGCGGGCTCATTAAACCTTTTCCAAAGACGGAATGGACGCCCTCCGGTAGATCCACAAACTTGGGTAGTGCATTCAAAGTAATCTCCATGTTGCCCAAAGCGACTTTACACAGGAACAAAACTCCTTGCTCACATCGTGTATTAGATCTTTTGCTGCAGTAATTAGCAGCTTTTGACACCGTGTTTGTAAAGTAAATTCCTGTAAAGTCGCTGGCAAAACGGAATACTCACAAGTAATTAGGCATAAAATTTCTACTTCATAAAACTGAAAGTAACGAGGTACCGCATTTTAATCTGAGAAGGATTATAAACAATGAACTCATCGTGTTGCAATACAGTTGTAGACCCTTGATTTTTACATAGCTGACCGAAAGGTACCAAGACATTTTCATCGATCATCACCGTTTCCGATGGATTCGGTCTGTTTATTCCTATTCCGTGGACAGAATTTTTACCAGGAGGGAGATCCAGGTCGGTTTTAAAATTTTTAGAATTATACAACACCTCGGTATTACCCAGCGCGACTTCACAAAGCAAAAGAACGCCATGGATCCGAGTTTTGCAATACAGAACAGACTTGGTCACTGAATTGGCAAAGTAAATCCCGGAGCCAAACATGCCAGTGGAATTGGCTTTTGTTGTTTTAAATCCTTCATACAAAATATATGGAACATTGGTTGGACTGGTTCCATGCCAAAGCAGCTGCTTGTTTTCCAAATTTTGAGTGTATCTTTGACTGTCACAAGGTCTGTCTATCACAAACAAGTCCACCATCTTGATTCTAAAAGTATGAACCGAAGATTGGGTGTTGTAAAAATACTTCTCTATTGTTTTGTAACGCTCGATGTTTCTGTCAAGAGGCTCAATCGTCGTGTGCAATTGATTGTAATAGAAATTCATCAGACAGAAAATCTGGCTGTTTCCAGCTATTTGTTTCTGCAACAAAACACGAACTATCTCAAGTTTTTGAGTGAGGTCAGCTATGGATGTTGATTTTTCTAAATACCCTGACAGCGAGTTCTGTGCGCTTCTAATATTCTGATTAATTTTCAAAAACTCGGATATTGTGTTCTTGATATCAAATGTGTACTCATCTATCATTTTTTTCAAAAAATTTATCTCAAAAATGTAGTTGATTATCAAGTTTTGAGTAGACACTGGCAGAGGTTTTTTGCTTATGTTATTTTCTTTTATTCTAGCAAAAACGTAATTTCTGCTTCGCTCAACGGACTGTATCATAAATTTTTGTTGACATTGCTTGAGTGGTAAGGATTCAGAGCGCTTCCGATGATTTATGGTATCAAAAGCTCCCCAATTCTGTACGAAATAAAAACTACTTTCTTCCTCGCGGCAATCCTTGCGCAATTTAAGGATTTGGATTCTGTAATAGTAATAAATAGGCTCGTTGTCATGGACATCTTCCTTGGTCCAGATCTGGGAGTACTCACGCTCTTCTGTCGTGTACACAAATGCTTTGTTCACCAACTCAGGTTCCATCTTCAATGCTACACAATTGTTGATTAACTTTTGCATTCTTTCGTCGGGTAAAAATGCCAGTTCCCATTCCTCCATCTTTGTTTTTTATTTTTCAATCAGACCGATGAAGTATCAAAAGGGTCTTCAAAGAATTTTTTGTATCCTGAAACACTTTTGTAAAATAGTAAGTATTGGAATGGTTTTACAGACATCCAAGAATTTATTAGATTTATACAAAAAAGGAAATTTCTATTCACACGTAAAAAAATTCTGATTAATCCACGCCGCATGAATGCAAGAGCTTTAAATCCACGCTGCGTAAATTTAAGGGCTTTAAATCCACGCTGCGTAAATGTAAGGGCCCTTATATTCACGTGGCGTGGATTTATCAGGACTATTTTACGAGTAAATAGACACCCCTTATAAAAAATTATAATAAAAAATATTTATCAAAAAAAAATTCATATGAAAAAATTTTTAAAAATTAAATGAGGGAATTTTTTGAAATATTTTTTTTTTAATAATTGACTGGTTATAAAAATTCCAAAAATTGTATGATGTCTGCTCATTTTAGTATCATGCATATTTAGTCATGTAATTATTATGAGAATTTAAGTAAAATAAGAGAAGTGAAGCAACTTACCGAGTCAATGATTGAAAATCTGCAATAATTAATTTTCAAAATACTCAATGGAGCTCCTATATTAATTGATAAGTCATACCAGCTACCTGCTATCTGTTGGTTCGGTCTTGATTTTTGATATATATATATATATATATATAGCAAAATTGCAATCTTTTACTATATATTCTGTTAAATGAGTGAAGTTAGCTAAGTTTCATCTCTATAGAGATGACTATAGTCAGAAAAAAAGGATTGGCAAGCGAAAAGTCAGTGACAAGAAAAAAGTATCGATAGGTCGATAGGTTGCAAGTTAAGGAATGGCGCTAAATTCAAATTTCTACATGTTAATTTTTTTCTTATTTTTTTATTGCTAAAATTTATTTGTTATAAAAACTCTTAAAATTATCAAATGTCTGACAAATTCATTTTCATTAAAAAAAAATATTTTTTTTTTAGCACTAATTTAAAAATAAATTTTTAACAATAAAAAATTAATTATTTTTTGATATTGAAATTAACAAACATGATAATTTAAAAAATTTTTTAATCTATCAAAATAATGTAAAAGAATAAAAAATTCAGATGTCAGCTGATTTCAAATTTGATACGAATTTACTACTGTGAATTTCTATGAAATTTTTTGCTTTGAACAGGTAAATTATCTGAGTGACAAATTTTTTATTTATTCAGTGAAGAGTATTGATAAAAAGAAGGTTGATTTTTTTAATTATAATGGTAAGAAATATTTTTAAATTAATATATTAAAAAATTACAAATTACATTTTTTCCCCCATTCAAAAACGATTATAGGTAAATAAAATTTATGAAAGTACATTTAATATTCTGACGATTGTAAAATTCTACAGGAAGCCTAAATTTACTATCTGGAAACTTTTTTTGTATAATTACAGCCCAAAAATTTCAGATAAGAAAAATTACAATTATAATTTGATTATCTGATTAAAATTTATGGTAAGAAAAAGAATTCTTTGCTCATTTCTTCTTAACAAAAAGTATTTCCATCCAGAATAAAAAATTCTATATTTATGAGATGGTTTACAAATGGAATTAATAAAATTTCTTGTAAAAATGTCGTAATAATCATAACTTTATTCCTATCAATAATAACAATAGAGAACTCTATTATTAACGCGTTAACATAATAATTTTTGTAAATAAAATTTATTTAGAATTTTCATTAAAATAAAATTAACTAAGTCTAAGAAAATTTTTAAATTTTTTCATTAATTAAATTATAATTAAAAAATTTAATTTAAATCTAAAATTTTTATCATAATTTTTTTTTTTTGAAATAATTTTTCAATAAAGTCATAGCAAAGTCATAAATGAATAGAAGAGTAAAATTAAAATCTAAAGCAAGAAACTAACATTACTAAAAGGTCCCAGCTAAAAGGTAACGAGGTACCTTATTTTTATTTGAGAGGTATTGTAAACAATAAACTCATCAAATTCCAATCCACTGTTATATTTAAATTCAAGTCTTCCATAAGGTACCAAGACATCATCATCAATAATATCAAAGTCATTGATATTCGGCGAATAATTTCCAACTCCATGCACTGAATTTTTACCATCAGTTAATGGATTTTCCTCGTATCCATTCACAAAGCCATTATTCCCAGTCGAAATTTCGCCCAAAGCAACCTCACAAAGAAAAAGGACTCCTTCACAGTAAGATCCACAATATCTCCAAGACTTAGTCATTGCATTAGTAAAGTAAGTACCGGTGCCGAATAAACCTCCTTTTGCTTTACTTATTTTAAAACCCTCGTACAAAATGGACGGGATGTTAAATCTCCTTGTTCCGTGCCAAAGTAGTTGCTTGTTCTTAAAATCTTTGGTGTATCTGACATTGTCATATGGCCTTTCAATTTCAAATACATACTTTAACTTGAGAGGATTGCCATTTAAAATATAGGAATCAACAGAAGTCATTGACTGCGAATTAGTAAAGTATTTTTCAATTATTCTGTAGCGTTCAGAGTTTCTATCAAGGACTCTAATTGTCGTGTGCAATTGTTTGTAATAAAAATTCATCAGGCTGAAAGTCCTGCTCCTGTCGTTAATCTTATCAGTAGCTTCACAAGTTATTTGCTTCTCCAATAATTCACGTATTGTACCATAAGACAATGATGATTGGATCTGGGTCGTGAATTCTTGTCGATAATCAGCCAATTCAGATGTAGCACATGTGACCTCCGATACCTCCGAGGTAACTCCAAGAAATGTAAATATTGTATCCTTTACATTTAATGTGTAGTCGTCAATCATTTTCTTGAGAAAACTCATGTCGAAAATATATTTTGCAATCAGCTCTCGAACAGGCTCCGGCAAAGGATTGTTGCTAATGTTATTTTCTTTAACTTTGGAGAAAATGAAATTTCTGCTACGCTCAGACGACTGGATCATAAATTTTTGAAGACATTGTCTGAGAGGTAAGTTATCAGAGCGCTTGCGATGATTGATTGTGTCAAAAGCTCCCCAGTTTTGGACAAATAAAAATGTATTTTCCTTCTCGTTTTCATCTTTTTCTATTACAAGTATTTTGATTTTATAGTAATAATAAATAGGCTCGCCATCGTAAACATCTTTTTTGATCCAGATCCTGGAATACTCGCCGCCTTCTGTGAATAAGGATGCCTTGTGTAGTAACTCTGGTTCCGGCTTCAATGCTGCGCAACTGCTGATCAACGTTTGGATTTTGCTGTTGGGTATTGATGTTTCTTCCCAATCGTCCATCTTTGTTTTTTTTTTTTTTTGGTAATTCAATTACCAATACAAGACAGATTACCGCACTTCAATCAATATTTACGTATAACCTATAAAAAAAATATCACTTATTAGTTAAATATTTCTATCAGATTTTTAGTAAAAATTATGATACTAAAATCAGGAAACATCTGATAAATTTTTTAATTTTTGTTACAAATCAATTGTGATGAAAAATTATTTTTAAAAATTTGTACTTATAATTTTCTAAGAAAAGTTTGGAAAATCCAAAAGAGCACGTCTCATAATCTCATTTTTCACAATAAAATTGATTAAAATAAAATATAAAAAACAGAAAACTCTGCTATGGTTTAGTCGTGTCATAATTCTAAGGTGAGGAAAAAAAATACTATATAATAAAATGTATAGATAGATATATTATGTACAAAAAAATACACAGTCACATATTAGTTTTTTATAAATAATAATTTAATGACAGTGAATTGAACGCTCATATGAAATTAATTGAGAAAGTCCGTCGTATGTTAATTTAGATAATAAAAAAAAAATTATTCCGATACTTGAAATTGGCAGACACTTGAAAAATTTTCAGAATTTTGTACCAATAAAATTATAATGAAAAAATTTCACTTGTAAAAATTAAAAAAAAAAAATTATGAAAGCGAATTCTTAAAGATAGTTTTCTATTAAAATTTATTCGTAATAAAAATTATAAAAATTGACAAACCTCAGCTTATTTCAGTATTATTTAAAAATTAGCAACTGGAATATTTAGGCATTATTTTTCATTAAAGCGCTACTACTTATAAGCAAACAGTCGTACTTGATCTGGATATGACAATAAAATGTTAAGAATTAATTTAATTCAGCGAAAAATCAGCCTGGCAAGGATTTTGTCGTCTTTACTTCACTTATTTCTTATACAACTATGTTAACCTCACTTTTTAGAACTCAGCATGTATTTAAATATACATTATGTCCCCTATAGCCGATACACGGCATCCCGGCATCCCTATGAGAGAAGCTGTTGAGTATTTACCTCAATTCGCCTACCACCACGTCATCTTATGGTCTTTTGATGTCAACTTACCTCCCCGCGGGGAAGCGGGGGTTTGATTTATCACGTGATCACCTGTAAGCGCGGCAACTGCCGCGTCTCTCGTCATAGCGGGATTTTTCATTTATTGATTTCCTTACTCACAGATTTCCAAAATTTGATGTTTCCATTTTCTGTAAAATTTCCGACCGTAAAGAATCAATGAAACGCATTGTACATAGAAATAATTTAATTATACAATAACTAATAAGAACGATCATTCCCTATTCACTGATAAAAGGATTTATTTGTATTTTAAAAAATATTTGTTAATAGTTAACAAATCATTTATTAGAGACCACTTTTTAGTATTAAACAAATCTTTCTTAGTATTTAAAATTATTTATTTGAATTAAATAAATCTGATATTCATTTATTAAATATTAATAAATCTTTTTAAATACTACGAAATATTTGTTAAGGACTAAAAAGTGGTTTCTAATAAATGATTTGTTAAATATTAGCAAATATTTTTAACTATAAACAAATCCTTTTATCAGTATAGGGAATCTGCATATATGCTAGAGTCTAATGAGTACTATATTTTTTAGGGGTGTGCAAATTCCGTTCGAATCGAATCGAACCGAATCTGTGGAATCATTTCTTAACCCTCTGAGACTTCTGAGCGTTTCTCCCACTCTTAGTGAAATGTCCCCTTCTACATTTACTTTACACGCTCCCTACTCCGGAACCGCGTGTCACACTTTGGGTTAAATCAATCGATAATAAATTTATTCTTTATTGCACGACTCATGATGCGAAGCATCAGACAGTGCTTTATGATCGAAAAATTTTTTGAAAATGCACATAAATAAAACAAGTTTGTAGGAATAAGTTTAAGGTTGTAGATCACTTCTAAGAATAAAGTAAGTATTGAAAATCGTTTTAAGTTACATTGTCATTATTAACATTTTATTACAAAAAAGTAAATTAAACTTAAACCAAGTTTAATAGTTATTTAAATTACAAAATTGACAATGATAATTTTTACACTTTCTTTGATAATACTATGCTTTTTACATCATATCTTAGTCTATTTAAGTTAAATTAATTGGTCTCACAATAAAAAAGTATTAGGCTCAATTTCATTAAAATTCTTAATAAAAAAAAAATGTTATAAAATTATTTATGTCTATAGCTAGTTTAAGTCTTTCAGAATTTATACACAGATCAATAATATCAATTAAGTGTTAGAAATAATAGATATTAATAGAATGTAATGTAAAATTTCATAAATATAAATTGGTAAATACATATTTATTATTACTTAAAATTATATTGGTTAAAAACATACGATTTAATCTTTATCCAGGGCATATCCCCGAATAAGCTTGGATGCTTGTTTTTGAATTCCGTGCATTCTTTTATTTTTGGAGGCTTACGTTGTTTTATGTGGTTCTTAAAATGTTCGATTATCACCTGACGTTGTTGTTTAGTCCATTTTCAACGACCATCTGGTACAGGTGCTAGAAATAAAAAGTATTAAGTAGAAAAATATTACCTATAGAATGAAATTGAAACTAATGGAGCGTTTTCTTACATTTGTTTCTGATGGTAGAAGAGGGTTGTTGGAAGTTTAAAACTACATTTTCCACAGAGTTTCCAGTATCTCGAATGACTTCATCATCGTCACCAGACTCATCACAAGCTGCTTCTTCCGTTTCTGGGTTGATTTCGATTTCACTTAAAGATTTCCCTTTATACTGTTCACCACCACCTTGATCCATCAAGATCAATAATTTGGAGACTTTGGCTGTTTGATATATATCTTGAGGTAATCTAAATAAAATATAAGAATATGGAATTACAAAACAATTGAAAAAAAAAATATATCACAATATAGTATTTATTTAATAAATTTCAATAGATTAAATTGGCATTATTTTAAAATAATTTAATACCAATATTATAATTATAATAGTAATAATAAATAAATTTAAAATTCAGCGAATTCTTTGACGCATTTTTCGGTATTTGAGATTCTCAGAGGATATATTTTTGAAAGAAAAAGAAAGAAATTTTTGAAAAAATTTGTTAATAATATACTCACTTGTAAAATTGGTTGTGTGTTTTTTCATTATGCCCCATAAATTCAGCAAAGTGTTTTGTTTCATCCTTGGTCAGACTTACAAGTTGCATGACTGTTGCAATTTGCTTTCGCAATTTATTGGAAGAAATATGCGAAGGATTTTTTATTCCGCATTTTTTAGCAAATTGTCTAATAATTGAATCCGCTCTTATCCATTGGGCACTGTTAGGGTGTGCAAATAGATACTTATTTTTTTCTGGCACTAAATTTGTATTTTGTCTGACTTTTAAAATCATATCCATATAGTCTTGCAATTTTCGTGGAAATAAAATCACTATAGGTTTCGTTCCCTTTCCTCCAGTTACTACTCTTTTGTAATGCTTTGTCAACTGTTTTTCAGATGGTGACAAAGTTCTTACTAACTCTTCCTGATTGGATGTTGAATAACTTGAATAATATGAATTCAACTGCGTAAATTGCACATCAACTATTCGTCGTCTGTTAAACAATATAGTCAGAGTAAGAGTAGCGTTAACTAAATTTTTATACTGCTTAGCATCATTTAAATTTAGTTGAAGGTAACCAACAGCTATATCTGCCACCGAAATCACATAATCTTTAAATTCTAAAACATCTCTCGTTAGAGGTAAAATCGGTGGCTTTTTCCACTTTTTCTCATTAAGATCTCTCATGGCTAAACTGCTTATTTCCGAGGTCCACTGGCTGTTAACTAAACTTAAGAAAGTTTGCACTTCCTTTATTTTAATTTCAGGAGTCTGGGAATTGAACATGGATGGTTTTCTAAGGAGCATCGCTATCACAAGCTCAGATATTTGTTTTAACGCAGTGCCTATGTGCGGTGGTAAACTTGGAGACCTGTAAGAGTTTGTTTCGATATCGAAGCCTGCAATTCTTTTCGTAGCGTCTAAAACTTTGTCAAACATAGATGGAGTAAGTACATCAATAAATGGGAATTTGTCATTATTTTCGATCTTTCGTATTTGTATAAGAAGTCTCGCCATTTCTCTCATTTTTTGAGAACAGACTACCTTTAATTGTTCTCTTTTATGCATTTTTAAGTATTGTTCGCCGTAAAGAACAATTACTATGTCTGTTTTGGCAACTAAAGAAATCTCATCTGCTGCCATTTTATTAAAGACTTCCTTTTTTACCCGTAGTTTATTGATAGTATTACTTGTATCTAAACTGCAAGCTATCAAAGTTTGAGAAGCTGATAAATGCTTAATCGTACCAGGATCTTTCATAATTTTAACCGCTCGACAAACTTTATGATGACGATAAAGATACTGTTTCGAGTAAAGTCCTTTGCAAGAAGGGCAAGGAACATATTCACCTTGTCTGTTTTTTGATTGGTAAGTTGGTCTAACAGTGCCTCTTAAATATTCCTGAAAATTCCCCTGCTTTCTAATTTGCTGAATTATTTCTGCTCTTTGTTGACTCTTTTTCGGATATTGTAACATTTCTCTAACCGGTTTGGTATCCTTATGATTTCTCTCTAAGTGACGTTCAAAATTTGTAACATCACTTTGGCAGAATTTACAAAAGGTTCTTTTTTTTTTACGAGTAATTCCATATGAAGAATGAGGCTGGAATGATATATTAAAAATTAAAAAAAAAACTCAATTCAATTGAAATCTATACTAATAAATAGAGAGCTGGTTTTTTTTGTTTGGTTATACTGCGAAAACTACTGAACAGATCGTAATAATACTTCTACTATAAGATGCAGCGTGTTTTGCAGCTAAGGTTTTAGTATATGTTTTTTTGTTGATTGCTAATCCGGAACTTATATTTTTTTTACTTGAAATAACAAATTTTTATTGTAACTACATCGATTCTATTCGATTGTCATTTGTTTGAAAT